CTAGTCTAATGGTAGGGAAAGGAATTCAGCTTAAAGGTCCTTGTACTAAGAATGTAATTGAATATCTTAGACGTTGTGGCAAAGAAGATTTAGCTTCAAGCATTGGTAGTATTAAGTGCTGATGAATGACCAAGATTGCTTTAATATCGTGATCCTACTTGTGCCTCAGCATTGTCAACAAATAGTCACCTCACCGTGGAGATTGACCCTCGATTGTATTCCATATTCCACCTAATTGAATTCTTCTCCAGTTTTGTGCAATAAAAAAATAGTTGGGCTTCTAGTCAGGTTGGATTGATAACTCTTTCCAGATTTCAACTTACATCTCATTTATTGATTTTGCACTCTGATTTGTGTATTGTCGGCCGATAGTCTTATCCAGCATGAGATGGAAAGAGCAGGTGAAGTGCTCCTTTGAATATTCAAGTTGAGGTAACACTGATTGGTGTTTTATTTTATAGCTAATAACATGGAATAAGAATACATGGATTAAAGCAAATACTAAATTTTATATCATGATTATTCTATCTAATACATAAAACCGAATGAGCCCTGCGTGAAGAAATTTCCAAGACTTCAGACATACAGTAAGTCTATAAGATGTGCAAAGCAAGTGGTCCTATTTATTTTTATCTTCTAGGATGTGCTCCCGTTATTATACCTGACAATTATCCCTCTATTTTTTGAGGTTTTCCATCATAGGAAAAGGACATTCCAAGTTCAATGAGTATACTCCTTTTCTCTGAGGAAAAGTACCTTGAGATGCAACAGAGGGTCAAACCGGTACATAAGAATTTCATTTGGTATCTGAGCTGTCAAGTATGATTTGTTTCATATGATTTTCACTCTCTTTGGAACAATAGAGTTTTTAGTATGAACTATCTGAATGAGAAGTATTGAATTATAGTTGTAGCACATGTAAAATATAGAGAAAAAAGGTCATTGATCCTCTGGAGCTGGTTCTTCCCATCGCTGAATACTTCTCTGCTGCCTGTTTTAGTGATGATACTTTTTGCCAAACAGAGCAAAGTAAAAGTCTTATCACTCAAGACAGCCAAAAGAATACAGTCCGACCTTGAATTTGAAGGCGTGTAATTCATGCACCAGTGCTTGAAGGAAAATATTTAAAGCAGGGGTGTGAGAGTCTAAAAGTAGAGAACAAGTAGATAGTATTTAACAGTTTGCAGGAAATATTCGTTCATTTTGCTTCACTTTCATTTTTTGTTCGATGACCAGCAGATTGGTGTCCAAAAGATGTCTGAAGACTTCTGTGGTTTTCAATCATGTCAATGTGGCACCATGGAACTATTTGTAGCCCAGTTAAAAAAAATCCAAATACATGCGGCTACTTGAATAGATCAATGCATGTTAGTAGCGAATAATGATGTTAAATTCGATCTTCTCTGATGTGGGAAATTAAAATTTGAGCTAGGCTGATTATTATGACTTCATTTCAAGTTAACATGTCCATAACTCCTACTCGGATTTGCATGCATTTATCTCTCAGTTGCTAAAAAGAGCAGCAGTAGAAAGAGCATAAGGGTAAGAAACAAGACCGTTTGCTTTGCACTTCTTATGGACCATATTAGGAGGATTGCATTATTCGGTGTTATCCTGTTAAGAGAACTGGTTCCAGCCTTTGAAAGGATATTATTGCGTATTTCACCTGGACAAGTGCTTGGTGCGTCCATTTTTTGTGAATAGAAATTACTCAAGTTGTTAATAGACGTGCATGGCATGCAACCAATTACTCATACAAGGTATATAATGTGTTCTTGATGTTTGTTTATTGATGCTAATTAATAACTGCTCTTTCTGGATTAGAAGCGATACTGTCTGGAATGGATCAAATGCACTCCTTTTAAGTGCCCTCTACTCTCCAGTCGGACGTTTTGGAGTTTCCACCTGTGAAGTGAGCACTAGAAAATGGACTTCGAAATGACTCCTGAAAGTTTTATCTTTCAGATACATAAAATTTTGTTTCTGGATTTGTGCGAATGTTAGAAGGCCCTTTTTCTTTGGTATTCTGATGCTATTTTCTTCTTCTACTTGAAACTTCACTTTATTGTTGTGATCAGACATGCGCTGTTTTGTTTCCCTTCTTGCACAGATAGAAGCAGAAACTGTTACAAGACATTGTCGTAATAGTAAACTTGTTCAATTTGATAGAGATAATTGCATAAAGTTTTCAGAAATAAAACGAAGAATGATCAACATTGTGATCATGCCTGAAGCTAAGGTAAAGGGGTCTGGGGACAGCCAGGCTAATATCAGTTTTCGAAGATACTTAAATGATCAGGAAGTTGATAGATTTGCTGAATTCATAGAGATTATGGAGCTTTCCCAAACTGTGAAGACAAGATTGTATTGGGAAAAATTAAGTTTATATATGGAATTCATTATAAGATGACACGTCATGACACGTGGACCAGTTAAAAGAAGAACAAGTGATGAAGAATAATCAAAGAGGCACGAGCTTCAACAGGCACGGGCAGTCATTTAGATAAAAGGCAAGGAAGGCCGGTGCTCGAACTTCTTTATGACGGAAGAGAATGAATCTGATAGAAAATAAGGAATAGATACGAACTATTGGGCATTAAATACAGAAACGTTAAGGAATCTGTATTGAATCAAATATGATTGCTTATTGTAACGTTACATAAAATGTCATTAAATACCATTAATTGATAATAATGGTTAATTATGGAAGAAAAGAAACGTACCACTTGGAAATAACTATAAAAGGAGAAGATAGACCATTTGTAAGGACACGAAATATCACCGAAATATACTGATTTACCTTGTTTTCTTCTGTTCATCTGATTATTATCAAAGCCAATTTCTTTTATTCATTTTATATATTGATTATCAGTAACCCGAGTTCTTTTAAAATAAAGCTTTGACCGAAATTACTATTTTTGGTTAAACAAATTGGTTCCGTTACCGGGAATATGATAATCGTTTACTTTCTTAATCAATTCTTTCATCAAAACTTACCATGTCAAATAACAACGACAACAACCAAGATACTCAACATCAGTAGAATGATGCGGGTGATAGGACACCACTTCCCTCACCGCGTGATTCACAACGTCAGTTACGAGAAGGAATTCCAGATGGCTCTAAAACAAATAATTGGGTTGCAAACGAACAAGCACTTGATGATGCTTTAAAAAATCTCATTGCTCAACAAGTCAGCAATGCCCTCCGAGCTTTTACCAGCCAATTGCCAATTGCACCACCAACACCAACTCCGAATTAGAATACTTTGGAAACCCCACGTTCTGGGCTCGTTAACTCAGGAACTGGTGGAACTCCAAGCGAGTCTCGCGATGAAGAGCCAGGTAACATAGTTAATTCTGATTTACAAAATTTAGTTCTAACTTTGCAGAAGCAGCTCAAGGAGCAAAGGGACCGTATAGAGCAAATACCTGGGGTACCGCCTGTAATCAAAGGAATAGACATGGATAAGTAGGGGTGTTCAAAACCGAACCGAACCGAAGCTTAATGTCTTACTGGTAACGGCTTAACAGACGTGGAACGGATTAAATTTTTTTTATTAACGGCTTATCGGTTTGGGGGCGGATTATTCAATTTTCTTAACGTCTAATCCGTTAACCCGTTAAGAATATATATATATATATATATATACCAAGGAGTTTAAACGGGCAACTAACAACATGATGTAATCACAAATCATAATACCGTCAAATTGATATCAACTGTGCATTCTCATATTTGAAGCAATCATGTTATTGGTCAGCGCTTTATTTTTCAAATAGCAACTCTTTTGAAAGAAAGTGAAATTCAACAGAAGAAAATCTAATGGCCAGTTAAAGTATTTCTTATGGTTTTTCTGAGAATGGTGAAGTGGTCTTATGGTTAACAATAGAAAACATTGATATTGCAACCATTTTGGGTTTTCGAAAGGGGGTGGGTGTGAGGTTGAACTCTCTTCCTGCACTTCTCTACTATCCCTGATATTACGAATAGAAAGCTACAGAGTTTGATTCCCAAGATGGTCAGTGATGTCCCGTATAACTTGCATAATTCTTGATCTTTGAGCGAAAAAGTTAACTAAAGGAAACCCCATCTTCACCGTAGATCAAACCATCCATGCTATCATCTGAACCTTATTTGCAGAAGCCAACATATAGTGATACAAAAATTATGGAGATGAACAAGTATTTGCCATGTCGGAAATTCTTGCCGGTTAGCAATATCCTTTTAAATCAAGTTTCTAGTTAACAAAAATAATCACTAGCATGCCAATGTCTGAGGCTCGTGAATGTGTGTGTGTGTGTATATATATATATATATATATATACATATATATGAATTGCTAGGCCGATAAACCGCTCGATAAGAGCTAAACCGATATCAATCCGCCCGATACCTTATCGCGTGACTAACGGATTAATACATTTAAAAATCGATAACCGATAAGCCAAACCGTTAAGAGTAAATAACCGCCCAATCCGCCCGATAATCAGCCATATGGATAAGTACTCACAACAACCATGGAATCCTAGTGCAGCTCCGGTGCCAATCCTGAAGAAGTTCAAAATGCCTGATATTCCAAAGTATGATGACACAACTAATCCACGAGACCACGTGATTGCATTCACAACTGGTGTGAAGGGCAACGATTTAACCAAACAAGAAATCGAATCAGTGTTGGTCAAAAAATTTGGTGAAACACTCACCAAGGGTGCATTAACATGGTATTTCCTTTTACCCAAAAATTCTATAAATTCTTTTGCTGAGCTTACAGATTCTTTTATCAAAGCACATTCGGGAGATCAAAAAGTTGAAAAGAGAATGGAGGATATTTTCAAAATCAAGCAAGGAGATCCAGAGTTGCTTAGGGAGTTTGTGGATAGGTTCCAGCGTGAAAGAATGATGTTACCACGCATACCAGATAATTGGGCAGCTATGGCTTTTGCCAGTAACTTGAATGAGAAAAGTTCAGAAGCCACGAGACGACTCAAGGAAAGTCTGCGTGAATTTCCAGCAACAACCTGGAATGATGTTTACAATAGATACAACACGAAGCTGAGGATAGAAGAAGACATTATCTCCCGATCTCAGAAAGATGAGAAGGTGAGTTCGAGATGTTCAGAAAACGAAAAAAGGTCCGGTAAAAATAGGTACGAACCATATATGGGCCCAGCAGGAAAAGACTCACGATCAAAACAGGATAATTCAAGGTACGATCGTAGATCGAGAAATATAGAGTCGGGTTCGTCATCGAGATTTGGGAGCGATCGAAACTCACAGGAAATTTGAGATGATGATAGGAACTTGAAGGCAAGTTTTGGCGGTTACAATTTCAATGTCAGCACTTCAGAATTGGTAGCGGTGTTAAGAGGCGTGGGCGATAAGGTGCATTGGCCAAAAGAAATGAGATCAAATCCAAACAGGTGCAATCCTGATCACTGGTGCGAATTTCGCAACGATCATGGTCATAAAATGACAGATTGCACATTGCTACAAGGCGAAGTTGATCATCTATTAAAGAAAGGGTATCTCACTGAATTATTCAGTGAGAAAGGTAAGCAAGCATACATGAAGAACAGGCAGGAGCCCCCTAAACCTCCTTCTCCCAAAAGGACCGTTAATGTTATAAGCGGGGGCGAAGAAATCAATGGTGTAACATACACAGCAGCCAATAAAGTTTCCAAAGTCACAATTACCCACGAGAAGCGGGTGCAACATGTCTTAGAGGAAGAAAGCATTACATTTGATTATGCAGATGCGGATGGCGTGTTAACTTCACATAACGATGCACTCGTAATATCTCTACCTGTACATGATATTAATGTGAAACGAGTTTTGATTGATCCAGGTAGTTCCGTGAACATTATTCTGCTGAGAGTACTACATGAGATGCAAGCTGAAGATAAACTAGTACCAAAGGCGCATACTTTGTCTGGATTCGACAATTCCAGCGTTGTGACGAAAGGGAGATAACACTTACTACATTCACAGAAGGGGTTGTCAAAAATACAAAGTTTCAGGTGGTAGAGATGGAGATGACTTACAATATGATTATCGGGAGACCATGGATACACGAGAAGAATGTCGTTCCGTCTACCTTACATCAAGTTATTAAATTTCCATCACCATGGGGGATACGTCAAATCCATGGGGATCAACAGATATCCAGGAGCATCAACTCTGTAGCAGATTCAAATACGAGAAACGAAGAAAAATAGTAGTTACAGAATCCAGTTGAGGATACAACAACACAAGCCTAAACTGAACAAGAGCGAATAGATGTGGACTCAAGGCCCGATTCCATTCAAGAACCAGAGGAAAATGAAAATATCAAAAAAACAATTGAAGAATTGGAGGCTGTAGAGTTATTTACACAATGGCCTGAAAGGAAAGTTGATGTTCTAAATGTCAATACCACACAAGAAAGGGGGGGGGG